GTAAGGAAGCCCCAACGCAGAACGAGAGGAGTGAATTCCGTTATCTATCAGTGCACGTCCACTAATAAAAAACATGAGCATCCAACTGCAGCCAAACAGTAAGGTCCGCCTCTACACGCGTTCACAAACACCAACTGGCAGTGAAAAGATGTGAAGATTTATCCGAAGTGGCTATGCATAGCCCTGACACAGGACACAGCTTCGCATGGGACAAAACACGCGCCGTCGGAGTTTACCCCTCCAAAAAAGGCCGAGAATTTTTTGAGGACATGCACCCCAAAGATTCATGCATCAACCGCCACATAGAGTTAGACGGAATTTATAAACCCACAAAAGAACGGTGGTAGAGATAAGGTTCGCATAATAAAGACTAACAGAGATCAAAACCACCAATCAGATTTCAGGCCATGTGACTATTGCTAGGAGATTTGGCAGATTCGCCTATATCATTTAACCCGATTGTGAAAAAAACTCTAGACCTCGTTGGAAGTCGAACCCGCAGAGCAGGGAAGGTTTTTGCGCAGCCAGTATTCTACCATTGAACTAAGAGGCCGCAAGTATTTTCACAATTGGGTCAACTATACATGTGACCATTGATTTTTTCCGCAAGTCTGAAATATTAGCTATTCTTTGCACATTTCTTATTAGTCTGAAGATGAACTGGGAAACCGGCTTCGAAAATTCATTGATTAAATTTACCTTTATATCCCGAAGAACATATTTTTCTTCAAAATACATTTGTTGCGATTTCTTCTAATGAAACAGCATCGGAGTCGCTATGCTGCCAATCACAAGGGCTCTGCACCAAATAACGAATACAGAACAAAATATTTCATACTGCCTCTTCCTATCCAGATGAATTAGTAAACTCCATTTTCATATGGCTGAGTACTCGCGATGGCGATGAGCAAGAAGAAGTGTAGGGGCAAAAGTGATTGTGCTTTTGGCACAACTGTTCGACAAACAGCAGACCGACATTAAGTGTGCGATTGTTGATTAGGGTATGACCAGCTAATTGATGGAAGTAAATAACGCAGAAATTGTTCCTTCATATTTTCCAGATATTGGTGAAAGTCCTTCTGGGTAAAAACTGCTTGATTTTGATAAAATATCCAAAAAAAGTCACCTTATACTACAATTCGTAGCAAACTGCCAATTTTTATTAAGATGCACTTGCGTATAATACTCCCATTGTTAATTTCTGAGCACCAAGACAATTTAAATTATAGCGAACTGAAAAACCAGTTTTAATAAATATTGAAATACATCATCGAGTCGCAAAGGCTACACAGCACTGCCTTTTACTTTTACTGATATTCACTAATTTCCACTTCTCCTATAACGAGTTTACATTCGAGCGCACCAGACTGTTTACTTGTTTTGTTCACTACAGGTGGCAACGGTGTCAGGCTGAACTATGTTGTCAACGGCTTAAGTTGGGGTATACGGAGGTAAATCGAACAAAGCATGGAGAACTTGTTGACTTACTTCATGTTATTCAGTATGGTCTGAGAAACTTCAATGATCGCCCTATGGTACTCATTGACCGCCTAAATCGAAAGGAGATGGATAATATATGGATAAAATAGGGGAGTCATAGTGCTTCAAAGATAGATAGTAAAATGACGCTATTTTTTTAAAAATCTTTTAAAAATATTTTCACTGCATCATATAATATTTATGTTATTCCTACGCGCAGGCCTGAGAATGCTGAGACAGAGAGTACCATCTATTTTCCCTGTTTTCTTGAAGCCGAATAATGATAAGTTTTCGGAAATTACAATTTAAAGAG